TTAAGCAAACTAGTGAGGGGATATTCATTAATCAAAATGAATATATATTGGACACTCTCAAGAGATTTAAAATGGATGATTTAAAGCCAATGAACACTCCGATGAGCACATCTATAAAATTGGACAAAGATGATTAATGTACTTCCGTTGATGTAATTAAATATCGAGTTTTGAATGAATCCCTTCTTTACTTAATCGCAAGTAGACCCATATCGTATTTAGTGTGTGTTTATATGCTAAATTTCAATTTAATCCTAAAGAACCACATCATAGTGTCATAAAAAGAACAGTCAGATATCTTAGTAACAGTAAAACCTTGGGCTTTTGGCATCCAAAGGGTACTCACATTGATCTACTTAATTTTTCGAACACAGATTGAGCGGGTTCCACAACTGGTTGCAAGAGTACTAGCAGAACATGATATTTTCTAGGATTCGCACTTGTGTCATGGTTTAATAAGAAACAAAATTCTATTACATTGTCTACCGCCAAAACCGAATATATTTCAACCACTAGCTGTTGATCACAAGTATTATAGATGAAACAAACTCTTAGTGATTATCACTTATCATTTGATTATATATCTATCATGTGTGATAACACTAGTGCCATAAACTTGTCAAAAAAATCTCATTTTGCACTCTCGAACGAAGCATATTGAAATTAGACATCACTTTCTAAGAAATCATGCACAAAAAAGAGATATTGTATTTGAATTTGTAAATATGAAAAATTAATTTTCTGATATTTTCACTAAAATTCTAGTGCTTGATCGATTCTCACATATTTGACGAGGTTTGGGAATTATTGATGAATTCAATGTACATGATTAAGTTGAATTCATACTATATGTTTTTACATGTTTTATTTCTATATTCGGTATTATTTAATATTTATTATAAATTTGATTTAGCTTGTTATTAAATAAAAAAAGGTGTATCGGATGAAGTCAACAGAACTATCTCGTATACTTGTTCAGATTGATAGAATAAAATGGAGAAAATGGGGCTCTATCAACCTGGACGTGGGGTTCAATGAAGAACCAAATTTTAAAATACGCGACTTAGCCTCTTCTCTCTCATTTTGTTTCCCAGCTCTCTCATTTCTCTCTCTAAATCTTTCCCCAATCCTTCATATTTCCATATCAAATCATCAAACATTCCCCAAAATAAAAAACCCACCACTCCTACACTTCAAATCTCTCAAAAATTCAAACTTTCATCCGCCAACAAATTCAAAATCCAAAAATCCGAACACTAGTGTGATTTTTCTACAATTTGTTCTCTCTTTCCACAATTTTTTTCTACAATGATGGGGTCTAAACGTGTAGGAAAAAGACTTAAGAGTATCGTGAGACGATCTCTTCCACCCTCCCCCGATGAAGAATATAACATGGAACCCGATGTACTGGCCAATCCTTTTGAAAAATCTTCAATTTAAATAGGTAAAAATGTTGATTTTGCTGATTTTATCATTGAAGCACCCGCATTTCACATAGAAGAATACTTTGAAATCATGGGTTGGGTGTCGATTGCAACTTTAGAGGAAAATGCGTTTCCACGTCTTATGAAAGAATTTTACAAAAACATGGCTATTACTCTTGGGTCAGATGAAATTTATTACTTACTCAAAAATACTTGCATTAACATCACCAATCCTTTCATCTGAGACATTCTTGAGTTTGAGGTGTGTGAAAATCAAAATTTTCTTCATAAAACTCATCCCATTTTGGAAGGATATAATCCTACCGAAGCATGTTGTAGAGTAACTGGAAAACATAGAAAATATCACCAACTTAGTGCAAATCAATTTACTCTTCCGTGTAAGATTTTGCAAAACATTATTACCCATGATATTCTTCATTGAAAGGGTCATCAAGATGACGTAAACAATTTTGATCTTTTTATTCATGATTCTTTTCTTGTTTGGTGGAAATTAGACTTTCCCACCATTGCACTCGGTCTTATGAAACTTGTTCATTCCAGTCGAAATGTCAAAACTTTACCTTATGACATGCTTCTTACCAAAATCTGTAGGCATTTTGAAATTCCTTTACATGATGAGACTTCCATTAAGCTCTATCCTATCGATACCATCAATGTCCAAACTCTTAAACGCATGAAAATCATAAAAGAACGTGGTCAATGGGTGGCTCACACCAAATGATTCGATCTCACTTCGAGTCCTTCCACTCTACCCTTCGATGGCGACGAGGACGACGATGTTCCACAAGTTCCAAACCCTCCTCATGACATTCTGGGTTCTGGTTTCCTCATCCTCCCATCGGTGGTTTCACATTTACCGAGGATCACTATAATCTTCTCAATGGGCGTATTGATTCACTTACATCCTCTATTGACGGCCTTGGTGGGATACTTCACCAATTGCAAGTTCTACAAGCTGTCATTTAAGCCCAACAAGATGCAATTCAAGCTCAACAAACGACGATGCAAGCTCGACATACTGCCTTTTACGCTCACTTATTTCCACCGCCTCCTTCGGAGCTGTAGCTATGGTTTATGCTTCATATTTATGTATTTCAGATACTCTTTTATGTTTCTGTGTTTTAGATACACTTTGCTCTATCATAACATTTCATTGATTAATATTGTATGTTACTTTAAGGGGGAATCTATTTACGATCATTTGTGCCTATGATTGTCTTTTTGATCTTACATGCCTTATCTTAGATTCTCACTTTATACTTTTTGCTTAGGCCAAAGGGGAAAAACATATGAAATGATATGCACATATTTTTTTATGCTTGATATATTGATGAATACGACGAATGTAATATGATTGAGTGGTTATTGACTTGTAAAAGATAAAGTGAATACATGTATAAAAGATAGGAGGAATATATGAACCATATGTGATATCTAAAATTTTTATCCCTTATCAATTTGTTGTTATGGCTTAATGCAAATAATCTTGTTTGTCATAATAAAAAATGAGGAAATTGTTGACCTATGATTTACTTCATATTTTGATCATAACAAACAAGTTGATTTTATTTCTAACAATGAGTTCGAGTCTTCATAACTATTGTTGTAAAGTTGATTGATTAGGGACAAAACAATCACTTCCAAAAGACTCGCATCGAACGATCAATAAAAATTGAGATGGACGCCAAGCATCCATGACATATCACTCGAGACAGAGACTTTCAATTGTCAAACATTGAAGATACTAGATTAAGATGTCCTGCATTCATGTGTAAAGGTATGACATTTTGATCTTTAGCAATGAATAATTGAAAGTCCAATGAATAATTTTTCATGCACGAGAAAATTATTTCATAAAAACACTTGTATAAAAATTATCTTTTAAAAGGTAAGTATTTCAACTTGATATTCAAACTCATTACAATATTACTTACCTTGAAAAATAAAATGAAAAATGTCTTTCAAAAGCCTTTTTTTTTTCAAAACAAACAATAAAGAAAAAAATCGAGAAACTTCTGTCCAAGTGGACTTCTAGTTCGTCCAACGGCCATTTTTTTAATCATTCTGAATTTTGACGTACAATGGCTAGCTTCGTCTTTTGATTTGGAAAGGGACATCCAGATTAGTTGTCTGATTTGTCAGAATTTTTTGGCTTTTTAATATTTATAAATACCGTTTCATTTTGCATTCATTATAACACTGTTGAGAGCATTTAAGTGAGATACTCATGAGGTAAATTATATTGATCCTACATCTTATTTATTTTTATCAAATTATTTACTTTGAAATTTTTTGATTGAATTAACTTTTGAAAAACATCTTTCTCATCAAAAAATTTCACATCTAACACTTGAGTTTCATTCATTATTATTCATTAAAGTGTTAGCTTATTTCTTTCTTTGTACTTAATTTTGATTATATCATTTATTAAGAGAGAAGTTTCAAATTGTAAAATCATCTCTGTTTAAATTTGTGGGTTATATTGAGATCCTGGAAAGTTTAATATTGTATAAGGATCGATACTTCTTACTTGTAAATCACTGAAAACTTTGCAAGAGTTTGGATTGCACTATAAATCAATCGAACTTAGGGAAATTTCCTTACTCGTGACGGAGAGCTTCGTAAAAAAGGACGTAGATAATTTTTTGTGATCGAACCCACACAATTATATCGTTCGTACACTTTCTTCCTTTTTATTTATCGTTTTCGTACTTGTACATTTTTGTTTGATTGACTTATTCATTCTCAACTTACTTAAATTTGAATCAATTTTTCGAAAATGTTTTTAAAAATCAATTTATCTCCCTCATGATTAGTTATTCTTGAGTTATCAGGAACGTGGGTCAACACATATTTCAAAGTTCAATACTCCATCAAACCTCTTAAACCCAATTTATGAAAATTGCAAATAGAACATTTAATTCTAAAAAAATAAACAACAATTAATTGTTATTATGATGTTTTCAAAACAACCCACAAAGAATTAAACAAAAATTTGAAAATATACACATTTATTTAAATGTGAGTGAATGATATAGGAGGACCGGAGAAGAGATAAAATCAAAGGGGTTGATTGAGCTTGAAAAATAGCCGTGCGAATAGAATATATAGTAAAAATTAGAGATGGTATCCTATGACCAAGTCCTGTTTGCCCACATTTTCTAATTTTTTTTTCTCGTAGCTCATTCTTAATTGCATATTCTTTCAATAAAATAAATTTACTTGTGGATTTATAATTTTTTCACACTTTTTAACCATATATTATTAAAAAAAAACAATTACTTTTCAACAAATGGGGCCAAATTTTAGTTTGAACTAATGTTTCAAAATTTTGA